CGTATGTTGTGCGCCCTCCTCTAGAGTGTACGTTTTCTTTGCTCGCGGCTTTTGGCCACATGTCTATGCCGGCATAGCCCTCTCTCCTTCCAGGCTCACCTTATGTGTGCTCCCTTGTGTGAGTGCCCTTCCCCTTTCAGCTGGCGGTACCCGTTTGATTGTTTCCATTGAGCCCGGTGTCGTGTTGTTACTCTCCCTCTGAGCTTGATGACCCTTACCTGGTTGTGTGGGTGGCCCCTTGGAGTTTACTCTGAGAGCTGTACCTGCCGCCTTCCCACCCATTCCTACCTCTGCCATGTGACTGAGTTCCCTTCTTTTTTGTTCATGTATTGTGCATTGTGTACAGTGCACGTGAGATTGTGCCACATTCGTTTTCGACTTAGGACATTGGTTTAGTTATTCTTTGGCCTTTAGGGCCCTGATGTTGATTTATATTCAGCCTCTTTGGCTCAGGAGACATTTTTCTCTTTCTTGGCCGACATAGGTCAGACATTTTTCTGCTTTTTGGGTCGACTCAAACCGGACATTGTTGCATAGATTAGGCTTGAGGCTTAGTCTGCATTGCATCTTTTTTCCTGCATGGAACTTGCTCCGCATCTAGGATTGTTTCCTTTGTCGTTCCTTTTGGGTTTCCGCTATTTCAGCGGATAGCGTGTTTGATGTATCCCTTGATCCATTCACACGTCCGAGGATCGTGTAGCGGTACCCCTACGGCCCGACAGTGAGACCGGACCAGTTTCAGGCCGTCAGCCTGACCCTGGTCCGGTACCAGGTTGTTTCCCGTACCTGGACCTAGGCCGCTATATCACTTCGGCCTAGGCCCAGGTCCGCAGTCAGTTAGTTCATTCATTCAGTTGTTCATTCGTTCATTGAGCCAGACTGGACCTTCACTCAGCTGCTGCTTCTCGTGCGTGTCCTTCTCCTCTCTCTCTCTCACCATCTCCGCACGTGCCCTCCGCACGTGCGTCACACTTCTGGTCTCTTCGTCTTGCATGTGTTCTTTGTCCTGTGATGCATGGTATAATTTGCTATTTTTTCCTTTCCTTCATTACCTAGGTCTCCTTCATTACCTAGGTCTCCTTCATTACCTAGGTCACACTCAAAGCCACCCAAGGACTCCTTGAGCAGGGACTCCAATGATTTTGAGTCTGGCTTTTACACAGGGTCAGGCGCACGCAATAAAACCGAATGCCTCCGTCTAAGCCGTGTCGCCATTGGCAAGAGAGATGATCTTATCTACTCGACTATGTCATTGAGAGTGTGAATTGGACACACACTTATTTTAACAAAATCCTGCATGACAACCTGCCAGTCCGCCAACCCACTGCATTCGCCCTGGGGAGGAACACTGAACCTAGCCTTAGAAGCGGTGGGGGCACGACAATGGGGCCGAAGGTGCGTTCCAGAAGGGCCCTGGGTGCAGACACTGGGGACAGCAGCCAAGCTACTGGGAACCACGCGCTTGCACCCTGGAAGGCCCAGACAGTAGACACTTTCCATAAAGGAATACACTGGCCTCCAGCTCAGGGACATTCTCGCTGGAGGCATTGCATGAGCACCGCCTGTTTGCATGCTCATTCCAGGCAGGGTGCTGGCCAGGAGGAAGGGCGTACACGGGCACTGTGGGCAAGGCTGCTGGGCACAGCCATTCGCATGTCAGCCATAGCCGGGCTGGTCACACTGGTTGCCGGTGGAGTTGGTGGTGGTCCTGGGCTATGGTGGACAGCCTGTGGAGGGAAGTCAAGGGATGAGACCAAGAGAGAGAAGGGGCATGCCTGCTGTGTCATGGAGGTCTGCATGGGCGACATCTTCATGTACATCGGTCTGCTGCTGAAGTGATGCTGGTTGGATCATGTAGTTGTAGGCTAGTATAGGTATCCAGAGGTGATAGTTTGGCCACCAGGCGCCATATAGAAGAGTGACATTGAATATATTTTGTTGGTGGAGGCGAGATTGGCGGCTGACATTGACAATTGAGTTTATTGGTTTGGTCTTATTTGGCGTGTAACTTGGTGCATTCTGCTTTCTGTTCGACGCCCAACTATCTTGCTTTCAATGTGATGATGCAATTTGGTTTTCTGTCATTAACTTTCGCTCATTGTCTTTGCACCAGGGGAAAAAAGAAACAGAAAAAAAACGCAGCGGTTAAGCTTTGGTCCTTTGGCTCATACCTGACCCTGTAACCAATTGAGAAACTTCATGCGATTCCGACAATTGTCACTCATCCGCGCTTGAGTGAGAAGTAATTAGTTGTCGATGATTGGAAAGCTTCGCTCAAAAGTGATTTTTTTATTGATCATGCACATTGTCAAGGAAGCCACATCTGGGCGCCCAGGTGCCCTAAGGACATAGCCCCCAGGGTGTCGTTCTTCCCAGCGGAAAGAAGCTGTAGCCATAAGGTTGCACCTTTTATAATAACCTCTCCCTCCCTCTCTCCCACCTCACCTTCCCCCCCTCCCTCCCTTTCAAACAGAAGAGCTGTGAGGTGGACAAGCCAGATAGATTGAAGTGATCAGTATTTGGGTGGCTGGACACCACAATTCTCTACAGAGCCACTTAGCTATTCTTCAGAAAGGGTGGGGTGGGGTGGGGTGGGGTGGGGGGATTAAGCTATGTCTTTCATGAGGACTCCAGTGGAATGGTCCAAGCCGGTGGGGTGGGGGGATTAAGCTATGTCTGTCATGAGGCCTCCAGTGGAATGGTCCAAGCCTCAGTAGAACCAACATAAGGACTGTAGAACTGCACGGTGATGTGTATGTCATGGTGACGAAAGTTTGCTGTTGCAATTGCCGGAAGTTAACATTGACTATGGAGGATCAGGCCAATCGCAGAATATGTCAGGGGAGGGAGAGCACGAGGTGATCTGTCTGTCCATCCATCCAGATGCTCGCTACAGGGTGGCGCGACGCACCGCAGCTCCGACCCTCGTTGTCCTGGCAGCAGCACCCCGGTTAGCCACTGGATTGCCTTCCTCCCTCGACTAATCTCCAGATATTTCTACCACACCTCAAGCTTTTGCGAAAACAGGTTACAGGGCTACGCCCCAGCACCGGCCACCGCCGTTCTGGCATCGGCCAACCAAGATCTCCAAACATCGCAGCTTCATATGGCAATAGATAAACTCTTACCACCACTGGAGTCCTGGATCCGGTTTCTGTAGAAGCTCGACGGTTGCTGATGATTGCTGATGATCTATCATTGAAGAATGTTAGGATTCAGAGTAATGATTTGATGGGACCCTAGAATTCCTCCCCCGCCCCCCTTCCCTCTCCGCCTGCCCCAATGCTGGCCTCGCTGACACGGAACGCCCTAATTAAGCCGCTCCTCCTCGGCCCCAGCGTGGGGCAGACTCCCTCCTCCCCCCTCTGTTCCCTCGAAGGCTTTCAGTTCCCATCCAAAGTATGCCCCCGACAACCCCTTGCCTTTATCTGCCTCCACTAGGATATGATACCGTCGTCGCATCTATCCCAGCCCTAGAACAAAGCAACATCTAATCTGCCCCTACCCCCTCCAGGGCATTCACGTCCCATCCCCTCCTCAAAAACCATCCCGCCAAACTGCTAGGAATAAGCACCATCAATGCACCACAAAGAAATTAGAATGATTGCGACGAGAGAAATTTGGAATTCAGATTCCAAGCATCTGGAATTGAGGAGTTCTAGGGTTATAAAGTAGAGAATTGAAGTTGAGACCGATGATTATAGATATTTAGAATTTTAGATATTTAGGTAATTGTATTTAGGTATTTAGCAGAGTAGTCACGCAGACAGTCGGCTCCCCTGGATTGGTCGGGGGCCGGGCAGCCGACCGTCGGACTGGTCGGCACCTACCGGTCGGGGATCAGCACCCCGCAATTTTATTTTATTTTTGTTTTGGGTCCAGAACCCCAAATAACCCCATCAACACCCCCATAGCCCCCCCCAACACCCCTATACACCTCCCCAACACCCCCATACCGCCCCTTAACACCCTCATAAGCCCCCCTTAACCCCCTAGATTACGGTGGAGTTAGGTTGTTGCATTAGGGTGGGAGGCTAATGCAACCTAACTCCACCGTAATATAGCCTTCCCCCCATCAAATACTCATGTCAGACGATGATGATGATGATGATGATGATGATGATGATGATGATGATCACACCAGGCCTGCCACGTCAAGTAGAACCAATGATATCACAGATGAACCTCCCGTTGAAGATGAAATTTCGACATTGACATAGTTGACAGATCCCTGATGCACTTTTACCTCCCGTTATGTGCCCCTGACAACGGCTCTCCAGACTATGGAGGGATACAACTCCGCCTTGATGATGTGTCGGCGTTCCCGTCATGTGCTGCCTCTTCGCCTTCACGAATTACAGTAAAGGAAAAGAGCGTCAGTGACATCGTGTGCCTGACACATCTGTTGCTGACGAACGACGCTTAGAGGCTTGCCAAGCGTCAGACGCTCAGGTGCGCGCTCAAAGGCGCACAAACGCACGGGCACACTGGGACGCGGATGGGGCGGGCGGGCGCGCAGGCTCAGCGGGCGGGGAGAGGAGGCGCGCGCGCGCTTGCAAGCGCACCCGCGCAAGCCAGCGCACGAACGCGCACATGGTCGCACACGAGCGGGCGCGCATGCGCACGCACTAGCACACACTACCGCCATATCTCTGTCTACAACTCCACGCTTACATCACTTTTTGGAAGCACCACATCCAATTCTTGCAGTTGAGTTACAATTCTCCCCGCCCTCTTGCCGGGTCGCCTGTTGTTCTTATTTTTCATGAGTCAGCTCCTCCGCATGTGCATAGATTCTATGATGGACGTCGGCATTCTAAACAATCAGCAGTAAAAACAAGCAGGCATGCATACAGAGAACTGCTCACTGAAAATTTGTTCCTACCTTTATTTGGTTTCCCCACGTGTAGTGCAAGATTGCTGCGTTTCCAAGGATCTTGTCCTCTGGTGGCTGCATACATGAGGCATTCACAGGAGAGGCAGAGAGACCACGTTATCAATTAGCGAGGAAGAAACAAGGCTCTGCATATGTGACTTTTATGTCTTCTTGATGTTAGTAACTTAGTATTATTTTATAATTTATATTTCTTTTTTCATAATCTTTAATCATAATGGAAGCCCTACCAGCGAACTTCAGCCAAAACAAAGACCTGGCTAGAATCAGGATTGCCGCTATCCACTCTTTCTCATGCAGTACCGGCCATTACTTACTCGTTGTTGAGGACAAAGCGGTGCAGCTAGGGCTCCCACTTCTCGCTCGTCTATCTGTGTCGCCATAGCCGATTTGTCCGATGTGTGATGACCCGTCCAAACATGGACTGAAACACACGACTGATTTCTGAGTTTTGCCCATAGACTGAATGCCTTGCTGAGTTTCCCGCCTGCCACTAAGTGTGCATGCTTGCTGGACTGCATGTCTGTCTGAGTGCTGGTTGGCTTGAGTGTGTGTGTGGCCCGCAAGGGCACTTGCTTGTTCATTGGGTCCTCAGGGCCGGTACTTACCTGTGCCCGTGACATTGAGGGATTGCAGCAGGAAAAACACTCAAGTACCCGGTAGGCCGGTACCGCACCCTGAAGGGGTAGATGTGCGGGTACTGGAGGCCGAGCAGAAGAAGACAAAAGTGGCATTTTTAGAGGCCCAGTAGTTGTAGGTTAGGTCTAGGCAGTCCAACCAGTCTGGGTCTAGGGCCTGTACGGGCAATATCAGAGTCTGCAATAATGTTTCCCTCCAGGAGGTACCCGTTGCTTGGAAGGCCGAGCGGCCTGGAAGTCACCGCCCGAAGAGGCAAGCAGGCCGCTATATCTCCCAGCCGGGCGAAGAGCCCGGCCTCTTTCTCGGTGTGCAAGTTTGGCGACACACTGGTTGGAGCACCGGTCGGAGCAGCGTTATCCATGAGCAGCGCTGCTGGGGGAAGGAGAAGGACACGGAGGAGGAAGAAGGACAGGAAGGGGGAGGAGTGCCAGGGGTACTTACCTGGCTATGGTGGCAGCCATCTTCATCACCTTGGTGGGCGCTGCAGCAGGGAGTCCCCAACTGGGGAGAGCTACACCAAGAAGCTTCGAGGCGGGGTCGGGCATGGCGGCCTGAGCTAGAGCAGCCATAGCTGCTTTGGGTTGTCCTTTGGGCATCTGAGCAAGGCTCAGTAGTCCGCCATAGCCCCGGCCTATAAGAGTGAAGAGTGGGAGAGGCGGCCATGGCTATGGTGGACCTCCAGTGATACCTGCAGTAGAAGAGGAACTCAGACATTGATCCTGGATCAGCCATTCAACATTGTATTATTATTTCTTGTATGAATAAGAGAAGGGGGAGATAAGGAGGAGGAGATTGTTGGGCGAAGAAGAAGAGCCTTGTCATTTGTCTATGATGGTGTACATCATCTTCTTCTTCTTTCTTACTTCTTCTTCTTCTTCTAATCCTCTCTCTCCTCTCAAGTTCATTCATTTCTTTCTGCAATTGGGCGGTATTGTATTATCTGATGGATGTGTATCTCGAAATTGGCCAGGATGATAACAGTTGCCTTTCAGGCTTCGATTGTGATTCGGATGCTGATGCTGCTTGTCTCTGTCTTAGCGGCGATTGTGAGGGTTAGTCTTTGTAAGTGAGGTCATTTGTTGGACATAAGGAGGTCGCAGCAACAAGGAGGATGTTATTTTATCATCCTTGCTCCTATGACTGAATTCCATATCTGGCAATTATTGGTGTAAATGGCCACATTTATCTGTTCTTCATTTGGAGCAGACATTGACGAAGATGATGATCTCAGATTTTCCATGAGGTTTGGTTGTCAATTGCGATCAGTGATCTAAATGAGGGGCTTGTTCTTGCAGGCTTAAAGAAAAAAGAAAAACAAAACGAAAAAAAAGATTGCCTCTATCCCAGATGCAAGGGTTTGACCCCTCGACATATGGCCCTGCAACACGCGCGTGCCCGCCCTAAGTGAAGGCTACCCCCTTGAATCTGAATGCGCCATGAACTCATCAATTTTGCAAATCTTGGTCGGCGCCTGTAACGGGAGCGAGGCTGAGGGAGACAGGAAGAGCCGAGGGAGAGGGGAGAGGGAGAGAGAGAGAGAGAGAGTGAGAGCACACACACACACTCACTCACTCGACACGACTGAGGGTCGGACGCAGACACAGTGGCAAGGACACAAAGTCGAAGTCTTGGATTCCGAATGCCGAAAACAGCAAGTCACACTGAGTACGAGTACAGCAGCAGAGAACTGGTACGAGACTGGTCCCCGTACTGTACGGGGCACCGGTATAAGTACCGGGTGTCCGCTACAGTAC